AACACAGGTACTCTGGAGATATTTCATAGTTACCTTCAAGCTAGGTGTAGAAGGTACATATTAAACAAAAAGAAATTTGTCCTTTAGATTTGAGTTTCTTCCCCCAAATAAGTCACTATAGATTTATAGATATTCCAAAATCTGAAAGCAATCGACTTCCAAAAGATTTGTAACCTCAAGATTTGGAATAAGTGGTACTCAATCACTGCCAATCTCAGTAATGCATAGATCTATGTAAAAAAATGCAGAGCTATGAGATTATGTTATTGAAACAGTGCTTAGTAAAACAGCTAATTAAAAGTTGTACTGCTACATAATCTCGATGGAATTCCTCAATCTCTGCAGAGTCAGTGTGTGTAAAGTCTCATTTCGATTTTTGATGCAATGCTTCCCATAATTTAGGCAGTCCATGTGTCCAAAAATGTGTATGGAATTTAATTTTCAGGTGTCATTTCCACAAAGATAAATGCCATGAATGTTGCAGATTATACTTGCCACTCAACCAGCGGAAAACCTAGTCACTTTTTGTCTTGACACTGCATGTCTCGCTCTTTTATAGTTTGTGTACTTGCCATACCTCCAATTTATTTAGGTTTTAGTAATTTCTGAAATGAGTGTTTTTACTTAGCTTAAAAAAGAAAAATCTTGTTGGTATTTTAAAAGCAATCAATTTTATTTGTATCTCTACTATTACTGTCTTTATTTAAAATAGACACCCTGAATTTCCTGTTCAATGAATGATTGAACTCCAGTGATGTCGATTAGAAAAATTCTATTGGACTATCTTATCATAAGGTACAGATGCAATATCCTAAAAATGGCAAAAGGGTGGATAAAATACATTTTTCCAAATTTGCTCTTCACTTCCTCAGTCATAATTTTCTTTTACTTTTAATCAGTATGTTCATGTGGCAGGTCTCTGGCTTTATGTAAGGTCTCAGCCTGGTGACTGTGGGCACATCGTTCAGCCTGCTCCGATGTCCTGACTCTGTTGGGCTGTAGAAGGTTCAGTGGGCGACAGCTATGAGGCCCAGCTTTATTTCTCTTAGATAAACCACTTACATCTCAGTGTCTTGGTGCTGGTGCTCTGTGAAATAAAGGAAATTAACATGATGATACTTAAGATTTCTTCAAATGAATGGGATTCTGAACTTTTAGAGCACTACAAATGCAACAGTCTTCCCAAAGAACCCAAACTTTTCCCCTACACATTGAGAATCCGTTTACAGAGGTTGATGAGGGTTAGGAATTAAAAGCTGTTTTCAGATTTTTCCTTCATCCTGATTATGTAAGTGCATATACATTGAGTCACACATTTCAGTATTTTAATAGTTACAAGATAACTAGCGCACAGAACAGACATTGTTTTGGGCTACATCTGTGCACACAAGTGCACCATATACACATGTGTCTACATATACAGCCCTCACAGGAAATGGAGGTAGTAAGATCTGTGGTCTTTCTATTTGAGATCACAGTTAGTGAACCTCCAGAACTAACAACCCAGAGTTACAGCACTCGTCAGCCATGTGGCCTCAGCCAGCCAGCTACAGAGAATAGCGTGCTACCACAAAAACCTGCACATGTCCAACAAATACAATGGATAATATCTAAAAATATGTCAAAGCTATAAATATATTCTCATATATGTGCATACTATTCTTTTCCGGAATTTGGAAAATTTTGGCTGTGACATGATCACTCATGCCAACATTGATTCATTCAGCATTCTGGAGTCTGTCATATGATAGGTCTGTGTTAGCCACGAAAAGTCACAGAAGAAATCACAGAGCACTGGTCCTTTCATGGTGAAAAGTGTTCATAGACATACATACAAATTGAAGTATTTATAAATACTCTACCCAGAAAACATATTGTTGACATCTTGGATCCAAGAAGTTTGTCCCTCGACCTGAGTAATTCTTGGAACTGCCTAACCTTTTCAAATGGGTGGTTGTCATTTCTTTTGATGGTTACAGAAGGGATAATGTGCTTGGATCATTCTCTTGGTTCTGTTGTCAACAATTCCTATTCCCTCTCTGGTTTGTTTTGAAATATTATTAAAACACAGGAATCAAACAAACAGCAAGGATGTTTGGAAGCAACATTTAACACTATAATTTTTAAAGGCCTTTTTCTGTAAAGGTCAGACCATTTTGGAAGTTTATCTGAAACCTTAAAATAGTTCATAATATTCCTAAATGAAAATAGCATGTGTTGTAAAAATCCTTTTCATCCCCTTAAAAGAAAAACCGAGAGCTGCTCAAGTCTGCTGTGCCCAATCCTTGTGGCATGTTACATTTGTCTGTACATTTCTTTGGGCCTGAAATAACGAAAATAATTGCCTTTCAATATTTGTTTTGAAAAGCAAAGCAATTTCAACTCAGAAGCCCCTCTTTTGAGTGCCTAAATTTTAAAGAAAAATGAAACTACCAACAGTTTTCATAGTTTGAGTCCAGGGACTGTTTTCAAGGTATGTGTTGTGACAGATTGTGAAAATTGACCTCCAAGATTACATTACACTGTTATGATAAAACCCTTGTATATCTGACATGGGTCTATCTGATGCTTACCCAAGGGCTAGATGTCTGGCCCTCAAAGAACAGGTTTGCTTTCACCTGCTACAGTTACAGGGGCAGCTGGAGCTCTGTCTTTGACTTACCGGTTACAAATGTACCAGCTGGTATTGCTGAAACAGATGCTGTCCATGGTCACCACGGTGGGCACAATTTAGGGACCTGAGAGTAATGACTTTCTGAGACACCAAGCTAGTGGCACTGAAACCCTGATAAATGAAATCATTACATTAGAAAGAAAAGTGTATCAGATCAAAAGAGGTAATGGTCCTGTAGTTTTAAAATGCTCTGGGGGCTTGGGAGATGACTCAATGGGTAAAGCCCTTGACATGCTAATGTGAGAAACTGAGTTTGAATCCCCAGAATTCATGTAACGTTGGGCACTGAAGCACATGTCTGAATTCCAGCACTCCTCCAGCTGTATGGGAGATGGGAATAGGGAAATTTCTAGGCAGGCTGGCCCTTCTGGAGTATGCAGTGGTGAACAAGACACCCTGTACCAAATGAGGTGGAAGTCAAGGAAATGACACCTGGAGTTTTCAGCCAAATGAAATGTGTTCATAGGTATGTGTGTATTTCAGTTTCCTACATGAAATCCTGATTTTGAGATGAGGAACTGAGACCAAGGGAAATTAAATATTCATGCTCAACTGGGTAAGGAGCAGGGAAGAATTTGATTCAGGTCTCTCTGATCAGTCTTCAGGGGAATTGGTTGCCTCTTACAGGCTGCAGTCACAGCCATCGTGGATCTTTCTTTGGAGGAAAGATGTAGAGAGAGCTGTCCACCAAGGAGAAGCTGCTGATTTACACTTGGGAAGGCTGCAAGTCTCACATTTCCCAGGAATAAGTTGAACCACCTTTTGCTCTTCCAGACAACCCAATTTTGGTTCTCAGCTACCCACATTGGGAAGGTCAGAACGGCCTGTAACTCCGGTTCCAGTGAATTTGATGCCATCTTCTGATCTCCTTGGCACCTAGATGCATGTGGTACATATTTACACAGAAAGGCACAAACACACATACACATTAAAAAAACTTTTTTAAAAAAGATGACATTGTATTCTGTGAGAAAAGCATCCCTGTTATGGCCCTGCCTGCTAGATGGGTGAGTTTTTCTCCCTGACTTAGTTTTGTGACCCACTCAGGTAAGCTTTCAGTTTCACCTGCAACATCTGTCCTTTTCTTGTCAGAACCTCAGCATTTTGTACCTAGATTGACAGATAAATGGTACAAGGTGCAAGAGCTGCTATTACTGTTTCAGCTCCACAGATCTTTTCTTTTAAACATTTTTCTTAGGTAGGGAAACAACTCTGGCTAGGACTTTTCAGACAAAGCAATTAATATTGTCATTTATAGAAAGTCTCACATTTCCCAGGAATAAGTTGAACCACCTTTTGCTCTTCCAGACAACCCAATTTTGGTTCTCAGCTACCCACATTGGGAAGGTCAGAACGGCCTGTAACTCCGGTTCCAGTGAATTTGATGCCATCTTCTGATCTCCTTGGCACCTAGATGCATGTGGTACATATTTACACAGAAAGGCACAAACACACATACACATTAAAAAAACTTTTTTAAAAAAGATGACATTGTATTCTGTGAGAAAAGCATCCCTGTTATGGCCCTGCCTGCTAGATGGGTGAGTTTTTCTCCCTGACTTAGTTTTGTGACCCACTCAGGTAAGCTTTCAGTTTCACCTGCAACATCTGTCCTTTTCTTGTCAGAACCTCAGCATTTTGTACCTAGATTGACAGATAAATGGTACAAGGTGCAAGAGCTGCTATTACTGTTTCAGCTCCACAGATCTTTTCTTTTAAACATTTTTCTTAGGTAGGGAAACAAATAACTCTGGCTAGGACTTTTCAGACAAAGCAATTAATATTGTCATTTATAGAAACATGACACTGAAGGAGAAGGCTGGTGCATTTTTGTTACTGTTGATGGTAGTAGAGATGGGTGCGTATATAGTTTTAGGGTCCTGAAATTTGAGGGTTGAAGTTAAATGGGGGAAATTACAAGAGTTTCTTAAAACAACGCATGAATGTCTTTACTTCCCCCATACATTAGCTGCCAATCTGTAAATATTTATGGCAGAAACTCTACACCACCTTAATAGTATTGGGCAGCATGCCATGCCTAGATGACAGATGGTCTTGTTCTTGGGAGATCTTCACTGGGGAGTAAAGTGACAGCTCTCAGAGGGTATTATCTAGTGTAAAATCCATAGTGACTATTTAGAGTTATGTCTATAATTCAGATATTCTTTACTTGATCCTGTGTGGGTTTTTTCAATATTTTATATCTTTATCTATGTGAATATTGTTCTTTGGATGTTTTTAGTTCTTTTTGGGAGGCTTCTTAAAAGGACTCAGCATGTATTTTAGTTAGAACCCTCATGCATTGTTTCTCTCTCTCTCTTTGTAGGTAGAAATAACCCTTCAGGATATCAATGACAACCCACCAGTGTTTCCAACAGACATGCTGGATCTCACTGTGGAGGAGAACATTGGAGATGGATCTAAGATTATGCAGCTGACAGCCATGGATGCTGATGAGGTAGCCAATGTCTTTTGAACCATTGATAGCAGTGACTTGCAGAATTTCAAGTGCCTGTTGTCAGCTCCAGTATGCAGTGATTAAGGTTAAGCATCCTGTCTTACTTTCCCAGAGGACATCTGTTAGTATGTCTGAAATGTGATATGGGTGGCAAGATAGAGGAGGCTGGGGAGATAGCCCCACCTGGGGACCACTTATGGGCATGAGGATCTGAGTTCAGCACTCCACAGAAAAAAAGCTGTGTGTGCTGATACTTTCTTGTGATCCCAGCCTGGGGAAGGTGGTGATAGGAGGGTCCCTGGAGCTCTCTGTCCAGTCAGCCTAGTCTATGTGGTGAGCCCCAAGTCTCAGAGATAAACTATGTCTCAAAAGACAAATTGGATTGGAGAGACAGTTCAGCAGTCAACCCTTTGCCTCCATATGCACTCGTACACATGTGTACTCACACAAGCACATACCCACACAAGTACACACACAAACACACAGAGGCACATACCCACATAAGCACACACACATCCATACAAACACATCCACACTAGCACATACACAAACACCCACACATAACCAACATTCACACAAGCACACACCCACACAAACACACACCCACAATAAAAGAATGGAAGGATAAAGCCTATGGCGAGGTAATTCCCTGATCCGCAGCTCACAACTTAACTGATTGTTCTCTGCATTTTAGATTCCTTTGCCAAACTATTTTTCTTCAATAATAAAAGCATCTAAAACATATCTTTATTCTTACACCTTTATCATTCCATTGAAAAAAATCATTTATTATTTTTATTTTATGTGTATGAGTGTTATGCCGGCATGTAGGTAAGTGCACCGGTGGAGGATAGAATGCCCATGGAGGATAGAAGAGGCTGTCGGATCCTCTGGAACTGGAGTTACAGACAGTTGTTAGCTGCCATGTTGGATGCTGGGATTCAAACCCGGGTCCTCTGTAAGAACAGTCAGTGTTCTTAACTGCTGAGCCATCTCTCTAGCCCCCTCATTCCATTTTTAAGCAAATTATTTAAATACTAAAGATAGTTGAAGTGACCTTAAAATCTTAATATGTATATTTGTTTACATGTAAGGCTGTTATTCAGGTAAGCTAGTGATTTTTCAATTTCTTTAGTGAGCAGAAATATTGCAGGGCATGGCAGTGCATGCCTTTAATCCCAGCACTTAGAAGGCAGAGGCAGGTGGATCTCTGTGAGTTCCAGGCCAGCTGGAGCTACTCAAAAACCTCAGAAATAACCTATTGGTGGAAGTTGGAGACACCAGTTAGACTATTATCTTCCGTATCTTGTAGATATGCATTTGCCATGCTCCAAACGCTGGAAGGTTATATAATTTATAATTTATATTTTCCTTCATTGCTTGTTCTCTGTTTTCTGTGGAGTAAAAGGTGTAACAATGCTCTGAAGTTGAGGGAAGAAGAGCAACCTTCCCAAATCCCAGTAACTCTTCCCTGAGACCCTTTAGCCAAGTGCGACACAGACCTGGCTTTGTTTCCTTCCGCTCCAGTAATGTCTGAACACCTGATTTGTTTGCCTCTGAGTAAACAGTTTATGAACTGACTTCTTTCATATTAAAAGATAAATACATACATACTTACGTAAAAAAACTAATCTCAACAGCCAATTCTGAAGTAATAAAAAGGAAGGAAAAAAGCATAACTTTTGGTAATTATAGCTTTCTTCTAGAAAAAATTTGATGTTTTGTTTTTGTGTCTGCTAGTCTATTTTGTATATAAAAAGTTTATACTGATTATAAGCTCAGTTATCACTGAAAGTTATATGATGGGACATGTGCATTGTTAAGTCATATGGAACATCGTGACATAATTCAGTAAATTTTCATCTTAAAGCTTGTCCATGGTAAAATATATTTAGCTGTGTCAGTTTATAAAATTTCATTAACTCTAATTTGAAAATAATAGCAACACGAAGCTCATGTAATTGCCATGAGACAATTCTCACTGAGTAGCTGGAATTACAGTGGCTGTTTCATAGGCTGTACTTTCTGTAGGAAGAGAGACACAAAGCCCATTAATTTAAAATTATTTGTTCTAATCACTTTAAAACAATGAAGCATTAGCCATGCACATTTTAATACATATTTTAATGGGATGGCTATTTACTCCATGGAATAAATGTTATAATTAATGTGGGATTACTCAACCCAAGTTATGGTGAATTGCAAATAAATTGTATATGGAAATTTGGTTGTTTTAATCAGCATACAACTCTCTTAGGAACTGGTTATTTGAAAGATATGCCAACATCCATCCGTGTGATTCTATTCTGTTGAGGATGGTGTATTTACACTTCCTACTGTTTCCTTTTAAGAGCAGAGAAGCTAATATAAGCTCCATGTCGTATGGGTGCTTAGGCATCCCCAAGTGACTTCACTGTGCATGAGTTCACGCTGCACTGCTAGCAAGCTCATCTTTAAGATACACTGATAGTCACACAAGGAAACTTGATGAAGGATGGGAGGGTCCTCATGTCTCTAGTCATTTACACCAAAGCTTTTGTTTTATTTTTATTGAGAGTCGAGTTTACATTAAAAAAAAAACTTAATCAGCTATGCAGGTTTAATTGCTTACACATCCTACTTTAAAAAGACATTGAGTATAAAAATGGGAAGTAGGATGTGCAATCAGTCCATGCAGGGTCTGACAGCTGGAGATTTAAGGGACAGAAAAAAACAAGTCTGTAAATCAGGAATAGGCAAGTGGCACAGGGAGAGGTTGTCATCTCACCAAAGTGTGGGAGAGGGAGCAGCAGTGCGTGCAGATTTCTCCCCCCACCCCTTGGTCTGTGTGTATGCGTGTGTGTGTGTGTGTGTGTGTGTGTGTGTGTGTGTGTTGTCGAAAACTAGGGGTAGGCAGAAGAGAACAAGTAAACCCACCTGAACCTTTAAAGCAGAGAGGGAGATGATTTTTTTAAAAAAAATGCTTTAAGTTTAAGGCCATTTTTAAAACAATGATGCCCATTGAGGTTCTTTCCTTCTTTAATACATTTTCTCTTAATTTTGTAGTGGATGTTTTTGTAAGTACTGAGTATTTCAACTCCTTTTGTGGAGAACAGACACTCCTTTAACCCTGTCTCAAGCAGAGTAGATACCCAGGCTTCCTATATAGTATTCAGAAATGTGCCTTTTTCTTTGAGTGTGATAAATTAGTATTAATTATTTTTGATAACCCTTTCACCATGTTGCTTCACATTGTCTTGGCTCCTTACCTCTTAGTTGAATATGGAAATGCCTATTTGAAATGCCTTCTGTCTTCTGGAATTGTGGCTCTTTTCTTTCTTCCTGTGGTTTGAGTAGATGGGAGTGTTGAAATGTGAGGTGCTTCCTTCACTTGTGACTAGTGTTGCCCTGCAGTGTCATTGCCTGAAAAGACCCAGTGGGAGTCTAGAAAACACTGAGCATGTGGATTCCACTGGAAAATAATGGCTCCACTTCATTACTTAATATAACTTGTTAACGTTTTAGAGAAACTTGAGAGACACCACAGAATAATGCCTGAGTAAAGGAACACATTTCAGAAAGTCACATTCACAAGTCCACAGTGCTGTGTGCTAAAGGCAAGCCAGGGTGTTCAGACAGTGCCCTCAGTGCCCTGATGGTTTTGCAAGTACTATTTCAGGTTATAAAACTCACTTGCAATGGATCCTTATTTATCTTAGAATTCCTTCCGCTGGGTCCTGTCTCAGGTTCCTCAGGAGTAGTAGACTATTTCAATGTCACTATTCCCACTTAGCCGCAGCTGAGACATCATGTCCATTTCTGGTGTTGCTGACTTGGCACATTTGTGATATTAAATAAACAGACTTTTCAAAACCGCCAATTAAATCATTGCTCTTGGCCAGGCCTTTTTAGACTTTTGTGAGTAACATTCATTCACATCAGCTGATTCTGAATAAGAAAAAGGTTGCTTGGTCAACACAGACTTTGCCTCTTTTTAGGAGAACTATCGCTATTCTAGGAATTATGGTTTATTATTCCACATCATTGGTAGAGGTGGCATTTGTAAGTTTTAGATAATTTGTACAATGGCTTCAAAATGTTTTTGTTTCTTCATATTCTTAGTTTCCATTTGAACAGGTCAGAATGTAGAATAGCTGCTCTCAAACCAGCATACACTACTAGAACAGCAGAATTCTCTGTAAACTGGAACAAACCGTGCAGAACGCGGTCAGAGCAGGGGTGAAAAATGCTTATTGAATGTTTTGTCTAACCATAAAATTACAATAAATGTGTTAGATATTCACATACACCTGAATATACAAAATGAATGTGGGTAATGTGCCAAACTCAGCTGCTCCCTTATTAAATTAGGGAGGTTTTGAGGCATTCCTTTTATTAAATTTTAAGATTAGCCTTGGGAATGCAGTATAAAAAGATCGTGAATGCCGCTAAACATAAAATCTGAAAGGGGGGATATTTGACTTACGCTGTTGGAAACCATTCCTTTATGCATAAAACATAAACACATAATAATATAAAAACAGACTCTTTGATAGAAAAGATGTATGGGAACTTGGGGCTTGTAACCTATGGTCAGCCTGTTTTCTTCATTCCTACATAATACTATTTATTTTCTTCCTAATAAATTTCATGACAATTCTTTGCACATTTCAATGAATAAGGTTCTGTATTTTAATGATGCGAAGAGACAAATTTGTCTCCAGTAACAGTATTTAAATAAAAAAGTAGTGTGTGAATTCAAGAATTCCAGCATTACTTAAACCTTACCAAGATCAGTAGTTACACATAATAAGGTATTTAAAAACATTTTTCTCCAAGAAATCCAGAAATTCTGTATTTTTATTTTCCTTATGCATTTTCAGACATTCATATCATGAAATGTCTCTCTTTAAAAATATAAGATAGCCAGATGTGGTGGCACCGCAGCATGCCTTTAATCCCAGCACTTGGGAGGCAGAGGCAGGTGGATCTTTGTGAGTTCAAGGCCAGCCTTGTCTACA